TTATTAAATAACACTGTCTATGGCATTCACTGTAATTTCATGATTTTTCTATATTTGTACTGAAAGACTCGAATAAAAAAAATATTTTAATTTATATTATGACTAGTTAATTATCCAGATTCGCTCGGGTACGTCCCCTAGATGCCTAACAGTACCTTATACTTATACTACTTCAAAAGTTCGAATATCTATACTAATATTATAAAGAGGAAAGATTTGTTTTGTTTGTTTGTTTATACCGGATAAGCTCCGAAATTACAGAACCGATGAAGTCGTTCTATTATTTATCTCGTCTTGATATCATAATAATTGCGCTTGTACTAGAAGTTTATTTTAGTAACAAAATAAAATAATTTAAATGTTTTCATTACACAAAACTTTTTGCGAATGTAACTTACGTTTTTATTTCTTTAATTTCTTACAATAAATTTCTAATGAGATTTCTTATTTTATCCTCTTTTACCCGACTGGGGCGAAGCCCAAAGGAGGTTTATGTGTTTCACCTGTACGTATGTAATATGTATGTATAATATACATTCATTATACATACGTAATATGTATGTATTTATGTATGTATGTATGTCAGATCATATGTTACCTTCCATAATCAAAATAATAGAAAATCAACTGAAAATGGGTTATCTAACTTTAGCAAAGAACACTGCTAATTTTGTTAAGTGGATTTAAGTTTATTACAATCGTATTAATAAGAGTGAATAATAATAAGCCACAAAATTTAAAACTATCTAAATAATTGGAAACATCTAACTTTAACCAAGCGTTAATGTAATTTTCAGAAAGCGGCAGCGCATATAAAGTTTCTCGTACGTACTAGTTAAGCTTTACTTCTATGTAACATCACCATAAAATAGATCCATCATTTAACGGATAACTCAATATCCGCTACGCATAACTAACCGACTGAATTTCCATCAAATTTTAGTTAGGTAATTAACTGTATTACCAATCCCTACCTGTTTTAAAGAAAAATTGTTTCTTATATTGTTCATCAATAAAGAAATGCGGGAAATCAACACAAATCTGTTGCTGAATAGTTGTGATAAAATTAATTTTGTTGTAATTAATACTTTGATTGGTTAAATCTATATAAATAAAAACCAATTGCCAAATGTGTGTAAACGAACTATTTCAGAACGGCTGCACCCGTTTGGTTAATTCTTTTTTTTGCTGTGTTTGTAAATGTCAGGACAAGGTTTAGGTGAAATAAACATTTGAAAATTTGTACGGAAAAGTGAAATATTTTGGTTAAAAAATAAAACAGCGAGTTGACAGATTGACAGTTGTTCAGTTTTTTCATTATGATAACAATATTTAAAAAAGAAATCGACAGTTGTTTTCAAAATGTAAGATAATTATATTTATCTATACTAATATTATAAAGAGGTAACGTTTGTGAGTTTGTAAGGTTGTAGGGGGTAATCTCTGGATCTACTAAACCGATTTTGATGAAATTTGGTAAGAAAATATTTTGATACCCTGGAAAGGACATAGAATACTTTTTATCCTGGAAATCATCCCTTAAAGGGTTGAAAATGGGGATGAAAGTTTGTATTAGGAAGAAAGTTAGAGACGAACCCTAGCGAAGCGAGAGTCACTAGTAGACATATATAATTTCATTTTTTTTTTTGATTTTGCTTTTTTCATATAAAACGCCAATTTTAAGGACCTAATACTAAATCCCCGCTGCAACCTTAATTGGAATATATTACATATCATTATTGCATCAATCAGATTTAAAGTTTTCTTTTTTGTTATCATTACATAAACTTTGATCAAGTGTTTTTGTGTTTTTTATAAAAAAAATTCTTTATTCGTGTATGCACTCTCTATCGTCCAATGAATTTCCATTGAAAAGAGATAACCAGCTTTCACTGTGAAGCGGATGAAAAATAGGCAACATCGGAATAACTTTTGGCTATTGATTGGGTTTACAGTTTACACAGCTTGGATAAAAGCGGCTATGTTTGCCACAGCTAGATATCTATCTATACATAATATAATAAAATTGTAACTAAGCCGAATCTGTACATTAGATATTTTTGGAAAATCTTATTGAAGTAAACATTATTATCGATACAGAGGCCGAATCTATAGTTTTTAGAATTTTTGTCTGTCTGTCTGTTACCGCATCACAGAAAAACCACTGGAGTTCAAATTTGGTATGGTGATAGTTGGTTATCCGGGTCGACATATAGGATATTTTTTACCGCGAGAAAATATCTCATTTCTGAGAAAAAATACAAAAACTGCAATGTAAGAGTATTACTAATATGTAAAACCTAAGAATTTGGTTTTTGGTCACCTGAACGCGGGCGGAGCCGCGGGCAATGCTAGTTTATACTAAAAATATAAATTAGACATTCATATCACAACTCCATACAAATTATGTCATATTTCTATAACTAGTATATTTTTTACTAGCGATAGGATTGAGTAACACATTCGTTATCAGCGCATCGAAATCATATGTAGGTAGGTACCTATACCAAAATTCAGATTATCATAATATTATATTATTATTAAACTTTTTATTTAATAATAAAATTAAAAGTCGAATTAGATATTTTACTTATTATATATCTTGCAATTTACAAGCCAGCCCTTAACCTGTATTTATAGTGACGACTAAAAGAACATATAAATTTTAACTTAAATAAAACACAAATGCAAAGTTAAAACTTCATTCATTAATAAAATATCTGAAATTGTATCATTGTACAAAGTTATTTAAACACTTACGATGAACCATAATTACAGAGTAAAAAAAACCAGATAAATGAAAGTACATTTCTCAGTGCTTATTATTGGGTATCTGTTATCACGATTCAATTAACTGGCGATTAAGTGCACTTGATTAAATATGAAGCAAAAAGTTGGCCAGTTTTTTAAAGATTGCATAAGCTTCCTGTTTTGGCCGGTTCTCTGAGTACCTACGATAACGAGAGCAGTTTAATCTATACTTTGGACATGTAAGTTTTTACGCATTCTTGCACTACACGTAAAACTGATGCACGACCTACATGTGCCTCTTTTTTTATTCATACTGACTAAATTCGCGCAAATCGAACCCGTAACCTCCGATATTTACAGCATTTGCTTATTCCGGCGTAACCCCAAGAATAATACCGAACCTATTTAGATTAACTCACATACATGTATGTCTACCCGTCTGCCATAGCCGGCGTTCTCCGAATTTAATGTCACATTCGCTCTCAACCTTCCTCTACAAAACTACGGTACCTAGAATTTTTAAAAGTCTCTCGCTCGACTCTCTCAGGCCCTTACGACTTTAGTTTTTTAAATAATAAAAATATATTTACACCACAACTCTTCTAGTATTACTCGACAATGACAATACGTAGCTTTTGAATGGCATCATAGAGAGACTATATGTAATAGGTATGTATAGTGATTTGTGAACGTTAAAATCGAAAGAGGTAATGATGCGTGAAACTACTCAATGATCAAACAAACAAATTAGCGTTCATATTAAAATATGAATAACGTTAACATTTAACATTAAAATTATTATAATTAGTATCAGTATGTTATCGTTATATAATAAAACAGTTTTTAAACGGAATGTCCAAGAATACTCAGGCCACGAAATCTATATAATTTTAGATCTGTACCTAATAAATATGAGGAATAATAGTCCGACGTACGCCACCATATTTTAACAAACTTGTTAACTTGACTTGAGCAAAGCTAACCAAAGGCAAATCCTGGTAGAAGATAGCGAAAGTACTATTTATAGTTATAAGTAACCTATATCTAACCTATTTTTAACATTGGGAAATGGATTTATATACTGCCTGAAAAGCCAGCACTATCCACTAAAATCAACAGAACCTCCCCCGTTTTAAAGGGGCGTCATAGGGTCGTTTACGCACTCTACCACGACGCAGAGCACAACAACCATGAGCTTGCTCTCACGGTTCATTATCCGATAAGTATTGCACCTCATGTAAATGTTTATGTCGTTGTTACGTGCAGTTAATGTAAAATATGTATACCTGTAAAAGTTACCTGTAAAAGTTTTCACCTAGGTGGAGTTGGGGAGAAGAAATTTTCAAAAAATGATAATTAAATACCTTTCTTTCAACAAAAGAATGAAAGGGGCGGTCGCTTAAAACGGCTAACTTAGAATATTACATTTAATTGATTCAAAAAAAATGATTTCATTGACTCAAAAAAATATAGACATAAATTCCTTTACTTACTTCGGTACTTAGTAAATAGAAAAAGCAATTCTCGAGAATATCCTTCTGCTGACATAACCATCTCTACATTATAAATGCAAAACTAACTTTTTATTGATGAGTTTTTCTTTCACATTAAAACTATCCATATGGTTTTTCCATGGGGATGAAAGTTTATGAATTGCAATATGTATTTCGTATTCCAGTCATTTTTTTCGTTAGAGGTGTTTTATTATACTGGCAAATTAAATAAATAATCGAAAATAGAAGAATGCAAGTCGCTCGATCAATCAATTGTTGATGGCAAATTAAGTTTTATGTATTTTTCTTAAACTATGTAAGCTACAGCACAAAGCTTACGTGCAGTATTTATTGTTAATAATTTTTGTACTAATTTATTGCCCTTTACAAACGCCTGACCAAAAGATATAGCAAACTCATGAATATGCTTTTTAAACACGACTATAATATATTGTCAGTATCACTTTCACCAGATGGATGTACTTAGGAAAATAATAAAACTTAGTAAAATTATGAGCTTATAATACTTATTAACGTATTTCATTAGTATTAAATAAAACTTAATGTTATGACCAAAATAATATTCTATTAATTAAACATATTTTAATTCTGTTAACATTGAAGGACATAAATGTCACATATGCCTTAAATATGACTATTTCTGTCAAAAATGCAAAGTGTAAACAAAGCGGAATGGACCTTTGAAAATTGAAATCTCTATTAATTGTACTTAAGATAAGTTTAATAAAATTTAAAATGAGTAACAAAGCAGCAAAAATAGCAGAGCTGTTTACTAAAACTATTGCTTCAACAAAATGTTTTGACCATAACCTTCGGAAGGTAAAAATTGACAATTTTTATATATATTAATTAAACAATTTAGTTAAAAAATAACCTGTTTTGATTTATATAATTTTTTATGTCGTATTTACATATGACATATTAATAAAACCATCCACTACTTAATTATAATTTAAAGATTTACAGCATTTTTTTTTGATTTTTGGAAGAGTTAAATTAGTATTATAGTTCAGTGTAGATTTACAGAACTTATTTCCGATTAGTACATATTGAATATTATTTACTATTACAGTCCTAAAGTATTGAATATTTTTTTATAATATAAAAAATATAATTTCCTTTTCACCAAAAACATTTTAAAGTATATACCTGCTTATATATTCAATATTTTATATGTTTATTGTATATGTACAGGTTAAAGTTGTAAGTGTTTGCAATGGCAAGATGGTTACTGAATTTAAAGTAGGTCCAGAGCATTTAAATCAGCGAGGAACTTTGCATGGTGGTTTCATTGCTCATTTAGTTGATGCAATATCTACGTATGCCCTTGAGTCTAATGAAAATATTGATACTAGAGGAGTATCCGTTGACCTTAGTGTCAGGTAATTGATTGAAAATAATAAAATATATTGTAATAATATTTATTTGTTCATATGTAATGAAAAGAAACTAAATAATTATTTAATTTATATGCCCTTACTGCTTTGTTGATTTGAATATTTTCATAAACCGTCCCGTCTATGGTTCCATTAATCCTTCCACCAAAGGTTGCCTCTAAGAAATTGTTCATAGCGATAAGACCACCTTTGCATGCCTTTTGTTATATTTTTTTTCTTTTCTTCTTCTGTATTCTTCTTTTGTGTGTTCAGTAAAGTATTTATCTATCTATCTATGAATTTAAGTAAATCCAAAGTTTATCTTAATTTTTATAGTTACATGAATGCAGCAAAAGAAGGAGATAATGTAGAGGTAGAAGCCATAACCAGGAAACTTGGTAAGAAAATAGCTTTTCTGGAAATTGAAGTGAGGAATAAAGACAACAATAAGGTTTTAGCTACAGGCAGACATACAAAGTATGTTGGAATTTAACCATTGTTACATAATATTATTTTAATCAAATCAATGTAATTAGCTATTTGTTAGTTTCTTATTTATGATTTTAGATGCAATAAAATTTTTAAATGTTTCAAGTTTTATTTTACTTCTATGGTACTCTACTTATAAATACTATTTTGAATCTATATTTACTGACAAATAATCTATACTAATATTATAGAGTGGCAATTTGTTTTGAACCTGCTAATATCAGGAACTACTAATCCGATTTGAAAAATTCTTTTTACATTATATGGCCCATTTATTGAGGAAGGCTTAAGGCTTTATATCATATAGTATATGGTCTATCTATTTTCCATGCTAACTGTTAAAACATACCTAGGCACAAATCTCAGTGAAGCGAGGGTGAGTCGCTAGTTTCTTTATTTTGTAATTTTGATTGGTTTCGAGTTTTTTCATTATGAAGATGTAAAAGAAACAACGTTTGTTTTTATTTTTTTTATTAAGCATAATAAATCAAGTAAAATAAATGGAAAGTGTAAAAACCACACTTAGTCCTCCAAAGATACTATTTTTCCTTAAGTTATAACTATACTTGAATCATGAATGCAATTCAATGTTCGTAGCTATTTAAAATTATATTGAAGACATTTATTATTTTAACAAAATTATTAAAGTTTAACAAACATTTTTGACAATATTTTCTTTATACTTTTTGCAAAAACCGAACTTAATTGTAGCAACATTATGTTATAAATAATAGCAAGAATTTAGATTATATGTTATCAACATATAATAGAAATTCTTTGTGATCTTGTGTTTTAGTTGACATTTAGCACTAATATTACAATCTCGTATATGATAGTTTAACTTAATGTTTCTATGAGAAGATTCTAGATTTATAGATATAGGGAGATCTAATTGGGCACAATAAATTTACTCTTTTAACAGGATCCCTTCAACGAGAGGAACTATTGTAGTTGTGGCACAAAAATAATATTTCAACTTCGATTATAAAAACAAGAAATTTTACACTGGGTACCTTATTTTAAAAATTCTTTCCTGGAATTTTAGTTAAGTTTTTTTCTTATATATAATTTAATCAAGCATTATAAAATTTAGAGAATGTGCTTTAGTCCTGAATAAAATTGGCTTTGGGTTATGTTATTGTTTACACAACCATTATTCAGCACACTATATTTCTGATAAATACATGGAAATTTATTTGTATTAGCCATATTTATTCCTCTGCGTGTCAGGACCTCTGTGCAGTTCTGATTGACATATTGAAAAAAAACAAATGGCCCATAGTTGGAAATAAGTGTGGTTTCTACTTTACAATACATATTTTATAAGAAATATACCAAGTTAAGCGTAGTAACTTCTTATCTAAGTAATGACTTTTTAAATTGAAATGTTATAAAAGTTCGAAAGGGAAAAAAACAGTAGGTACCCATGTTCTCTTTGTCTAGCCTTATGTAGATAAAGGGATATGTACCTTATACGTTAGCCTATATGCATACGCTAGCGTGGAGTTAGATTGACTTTTTACGAAACTTTTTTTCATGTTTAAATTAATGCGAGTACATAACTAGAATTTTGCCTATCCAAAAAAATTCAAAGATAAATGTCAAATAAACTAATTATAGAGGAGGGAAAAATCATCATAAACTTTATAGTCGATTTTTGCCTCTTCGGCTTGTGCAAATCGGCAGATTATTGAATTGGACACTTTTCAGGATGTGACTAGCCTACCACACCTTAATCTGACGGTTTCAAGTATTTCTACCTCATCAAAACATTTTTTAAATATTTTAATCGGCTTCCCTAGACGCGCCCCTTTATATAGAAGACTTATATTATGGTGAAAGTACTCAATAGAGTGCAAGGTAACCTCTTTTATGTTAATCTGCCACGCTCGAGTAACTACAGAAAATCCCCTCTTCGGCTCCCCTACTATTATAAATTATATGTATGTATGTATATACATAGGTATACAAAAAAATTCTATTATATTTCAGTTTTGCAATTCGTGTACCTACTTATGTGGCTTACCTAAGTCATTTTTATTTATGAAAAAAAATCATTACAAATTTATTAAGTATTTTTTGTTAATCCTCTTTTTGAAAATATATTTGCTGATAACTGTTGTTTAATCGTTAGCAAAACAAAGTTCTAGAAGTTACTACGATATTTGGTATATTTTGTCATAGCTGATCCCAGGGGGGTTGAGAGAATTCGGATCCAAGTTGCATTATTATTTGTTAGGTTATTAATATTTGAATCGTAAAGACTTAGAAAATTATTGGGAAGTCTGCAATCATTTTATATCCTCAACATTGATTGGCACAACAATTTTCTTAGTTCCGAATGTTATCTCATTCTGATTGTACCGATGCAGCAGTTTGGTATTTAAGAGAACATACATAAGAACATATCCCCCTTAGACTAGCTACGACGACGCTCACAGTAAATACAATGCAAATTAAGTATAATATATCTACTGCAAAATCATTTCTTGTAACATTTTAGCAAATATTCATGTTAATCCGACTTAGTAACTAAAAATACGAACGTGTGGATGTTGCAGAGTCGATTCATTGTTATGCTCTAAGAAGATTAAAAGTTAGAACTGACTATCAATACCTAGCCTTCTGTTAGATGGTGGAGTTTCAAAGATTCATATGTGTCGTAATATGAATAAACAAAACTAATTGATCATTGGGATGCAAGAAACAAAAGTCAGTTGTAATAAATGACGTGGCCGGATACGGCCGTATATATTTTTATATACGTAATGAATTATTCATTCTCCCAAACCATTCGTAGAACTGTTAAGGAACAGGCACTACAGTATTGTCACCATCTTAATATAATTAAGCACTATCTATACCTAGATATATGTCAGTCTCATCCTCTCCAACCGAAACAGTTCTCGATAATTAAAAGAGAATAAATAACTATCAACGTTATCTTTTTAACTACAACGTTTTTGTTCGTCAATCGTTTTTAAGGAATCTTCTTACGGTAATCGTATATATATCCAGCCTTCATATATGTACTCTTACCGCGAAAGATTTCTTTATTAATATCATACCTAAATATGATAAAGCTGAGTCCATTTGTGGCTTTTAATGTAGATATATTATTTAAAGCTGGAATTAATAACTAAAATAAAATATAATGAAAAAATCTTATTGAAAACAGTTTACGTTCTTAAGTTTTTTTGTCAGAATTTAGAATGAAGTAGCAAGTAGTGTCCAATACTATATAATTATAATAATTTCCCAATGACCCAAAAAAAGAACAACTCCTTTTTTTGTGCTAGGCAATAAGAACTGATAGTTAGTCCATAACTATGCCTCGGTAATGTAATGGATACAGTATCCCAACTCGGGCCTGTCCTTGAAATAATTACCTACAGCTGAGCGGCACGTACCCACGCGACAGGGCTGCTATAAAATTGAAGTTTGAAAATATTTCCGCCTCCACTGAGACGTACGGAAAGCTTTATTGTTAAATTTAATAGTATAAAGAATCCGCATTCGGATAAAAAGTTTAATTAAAAATACTTTAATTTTTATTTTTAATTTAGTTAATTAATTTTTATTTTTCATTTTTATCCCAAGGAGGGTTGACGTCAGGCAGGCGGCCGGTCGTAAAACTTTTGCCAAATCCTATCAGCAGTACACTGAAGATGTACTGCGCCGACCCCAAGTGATTTGGGAAATGGGCAGGGAGAAGAAGAAGAATTTTTATTTTTCAAACATACGATGTCTCGATACTTTTTTGTTTGACATTAGCGAAGTGATGGGAGGAATAAAATGTTTATTTTTGTATCAAATTATAAAAGTTACATATCATAACCACTTTATACAATTTTCGTATTCAATTATACGATCTGGCAGCCCCGCACGGTTGTCTACCGAGTGTATACCGAACGCGACGCGCGTAGGTATAACTCGATTTCCGACCATTTGTATGAAGATGGAATACTGTATGTAATATTACCGTGACTATGCTTAAAAAGCGCAAATAAAGATTGGCATTACTATCCTTATGTCTAAACAACATCGATATCTACTCTACACATCGAATAATAGTTACATTTAAAATGTTAAATTGATTATTATAAACTCCAAAACGGAGAATGCCTATTCTAAGTGATAGAATAAAGGGCCAGCGATAATTTGATGCTTATGGTACAAACGTACTTACTAATTTGCAACTGTGTCTAACCACTGTCCAATCAATCCAATGTATCAGGTAGCTAATAAATGTTTAGGTAATCGGTGGTGGGCATTGACTGCTGTTGGCATTTGACAGACAGCCTTCTCTCGTCCGTACACGCTTGTAGCTTAACGATATAGTATTTATTTATACCGGGCTTGTAAAGCATCAAATATACGCAAACCTCAGACATTGATGAATTTTAGATTACTTATACACAAATAAAATAGAGATATGTACTTAATTTCTGAAAACATTAAAATAAGAGAAATTTTTAAATCATATCAAAAATAATAAGTAGGTATATTACATCATTACAATGATGTACTTAAATGTTGACGGATTACAAGATCGTTAAAATTAATTAAATGATAAGGGTTGAGTAGTTTTATACATATATATATATATATATATATATATATATATATATATATATATATATATATATATATATATATATATATATATATATCAATTGAGTTTTAACGTTTCGATCGAAAAAGTGCAATCCGCCATCTTACTTTATTATGAAATGCTATTTAAACAGCAAATATTTAATTACAATTTACAATCGCATAAATTTCAGCGTTCATATAATATTACCCACACTCTTAAAATACTCAGACCTTATAAATACATTCGTAATTCGTGTCACGGACCCCGATACATTCAATTTAGGACGGATCTTGACCTTTCCTTCTATATGAACTCTTAAAATCGATCTACTTATGAAAAAAGCTGTTACGTAAAATGTTCAGATTATTAAATGCAATTTTATTACTGCTCAATTGATTGAGCAATAAATTACTTAATAAACACTAAAATGGCACAATTCAAGATTCTAATAACAGTCAACAGACGCATTTTTAGATATGGGTGAAACGGGAATATAATATAGTCAATAAGTTATTACTTAAGTCTATTCCTAAATGTTACGACTAGATTATGTTGCATATAGACACCTAACACTGAAAATTGTGACGTGTATATCTTAACATATAACATTCATATAATATGGAAACTGGATAATTACTAGTGTATCTTAGGTAATTGTACAGGTAGGACAAACGTAACGAAGGCAAACTCCGAGCACAGAGTTTAAAATAAATCTTTTAATTATGATAGAATTAGTCGATAAAATCATATAAAAATAGATTAGACGTAACAATAAATGGAATTCAAATAAGTTCTTAATTAGTTGGACCACATAGAGAAGACTTAAAGCTATACTGAAGATGAAAGTCACATTATATAGGTACATAGAGAGTACTCACACAGCGTTTTTTTTTTTTTGTTTTTTTTTTTTTTTGTAATTTATTTAATAACTGTAGACACATATATTTTTTTATTTTTTTTTTATTTGCGACTTACATCAAAACAGTTTTTTTTTATTTTTTTTTATTATATATTTTTTTTTGTATTTTTTAAAGATTTTTATACATCAATAAAGATATGAATTAATTAATTGAACTATTTCCTGGTTACCGGGTACAATTAATTTTATATATAATAGGTTCCTAGGTGATCTGTAGTCGTTGTCATTGTTTATCGTACTTAATTTTTCTTACAATTTTCTTCCAAATATTTAATTTTTTTCTTTAATTCTTCGATTGTTTTCTCTAGTATACTTTGAGAATCTTCCAATGTATTAAGACGGTGATCATTTTCAGTGAATTGAGTGTAAAGGTCCATTTGAGATGAGGCGTCTCGTCGAATTCGATTCGAATCGCTCTCATAGCTGTCTTCTCCGCATGACTCGCAATCTGCCCAGAATCGAAGATCCATCGATGGGAGATCATCGCAAGAAATTAAGCCATCTTGAACTTCGGGAAGTAAAAATACGTTTTCACTTATTGTATCAATATTATCGCCATTATCGCACAAAATTCTCGCTAAGCTTGATTGTTTAATTTGTTGTAACTGGTCGCGCTGGAATGTAGACGGATTCTCATACCAAAAACGATCTCCATCGCGCAAACGTCTAAACTGTTCAATCAATAGACAGCGGAAGAGAGGCCCAACTTTACCACCTTCAACTTGATCTTCTAATATGCCACCTACCCAAACATCAATATTATATACAGATCCATAAAGTTCTTTCAGTTTATCTCTAACAGATTTATCAGAAATTTCACCAGCTAAGTCATCAAAATCATTTACTTCGCTCATGTTGCAAACCTCTCTCCATTTGTTATATGGGGGAATAGCATGGTCACGTCCTCTTTGTATATTAATAGCGGCTAAATCAAGAGCTACAGCATGTGCAGTATGGAATAATTTTTCTGTAAGTTCGGTATTTAAATTTTGCGTAGGTGTTTTAAGCTTAGCAGGTGTACTAAACATGCCTCTTAATAACGGGTCGACTCCTCCTTCATCAACCAATCTCCAAGGTGAAAAGAACGCATTGCGCAAAAGTAAATGTCCTTGGGGTATAGTTTCAAAGTTTTCATCGTAGCGATGTAGGATCGGATTTATAAGTGAATGACCAAAACGCAATGCAGCTGTAGCAAAAACATTAGAAATGGATGGATTAAGATTTGGATTGTATTCTTTGTATTCGCCTAGTTGTGTATATCCTTCAGGACCTAGAATAAGTGGCAACCAATCTTTGTATGTAATTACTTGTATTTCAGCTCCAACAATTTTTCTTGCTTCTTGGTATACTTTGTCGCCATCCCAAAATGGATTCAATGCCTTCAGTTCCGTGGCTACACGATTATGTTCACGCATAAAAATAGTGTGCATCGCTGCTAAGCCCATTTGTTCGTTAGCCCTGATATCACCGGCTACAAAACAACTGCGAGTACTTTCTTCTAAATTGCGTCTACAATCCATTCCATTCAGACCAGTTGTAGGTAGTAAAGGTTTCTTACCGGGAAATTGAGCCCCAACCCGAAGAGTGCCATTTTCATTAGTCAAATCTCGCAGGTCTTCAGCAACTGACTTCTCAAAACCGTAAACTTGAGATGCGTCAATAAACGATGTAAGCTGGTTAATTTGTTCTCTTGGTTGCAAAGTACCAAAAAGTACTGATGTCATACCAGAGCCACATACTGCACTTGTCCGAACGAAATCAATGCAGCGACGGTTAGTTATTCTTGGATCATTTTCAGGAACATCAATTGGGAAACAAGGAGCTGCATAGTCACAAGTTTTTTTACAATCTACACCATCCCAAGTCTGCGAGCTTACGGAAGGCAAAGCGTGGTCCAAATCGTGATCTAACCATTGACCCCATTGCATAGTCATATGTGTAATTTCAATGTCTTCAGATATTTCAGTAGTACTTATGATTTTTGTGGAAACTAACCGAGCACTTGGTAAACTATACCCGTTATATTTAATATCTTTATTCCATCCAGTTGGCTGACTAAACCCATTCTCATATATAGGAAATAGAATTCTACGGAAACCAGTAAGCGAAGTGCCCCAAGTTGGATGAGCAAAATTGTTACAACTACCATCAATGCTTCTATATTTTTTATGATAACACATGTCTGAGCAATCTTTGGTTTCCCTATGGGCTACACAGCCGGACAGTCGAGCTATGACTTCTAAATGCTGAGCTGATAGTATGTTCTCATAATTAAATGGCTGAACCGCCGTTACCTTTGATCCAGACTGTATAAATTCTCTAACTTTGTCTAAAGTTCTTTCATAAATTTCCGCCGCTCGTGCCACTTCCCTTGCTGGTGCGTTTGGAAATCGCGTGATCCTATAAAGGTCGTTTAAATTGACATTGGAACTTCGATTTTTAAATAGTTGTGCCATTGTATTTGCAATAGCCTGATCAACATCTCTTGTTGCTTCGGTTAATGCTATATTAACATATTCATCACCAGGTAGAATGTGATCTTTTACAGTAAGAAATACCGAAGCAGTATCACGTCCATATTCGTTGTACACAGAGCATTCATAACTTCCCGCGTCTGATAAACTCACATTATTAATAATTAAACTTCCAATTAGTGAGATTGTTATTCTGTAGTTAGATACGATACGATTTCCATCTTTTCTCCATTCAATTGTAGCTGGCGGATCACTTTCATATTCACACGGCATTTGTACAGATGTTTCTTTAAACGCATCAGTGTCTTCTGGCTTTAGTATTATCTTAGGATGAATAATTTTAAATTCTTGTATTTTGAGTACAGCCGATATTTCGGTAAGTCCTTCAGAGTTTTCTGCTCGGCAATGATATAAGCCACCGTCGTCCTCAGATGTTTCGATTATCGTCAAATTTTGGTTTTCATCACTTAAAATTATATTATCATTAGGTGGCAAAACCATAGTGTTTCGATACCAAGTAATAACTGGCTTGGGTACTCCTCGAGCCGTACATTCGAATTGTGCAATATCGCCGATTGTAACAGTTTGATCCTTCGGGACTATAATAAAGGCAGGTGCAACTAAAACAAAAAGAAGTTAAACTATATTTTTTGAAAATATAAATATACTTACTGTAATGTAATTGTCATTCATTTACCCATAACTTCAAGCGTGACCGATGCCGTTATCTTCCCATTTATGTTTTCAGCTTGACATGTATACAGTCCGGCATCTTCATGTTGAATATTTTCTATTAAAATGGACCCATTGTGACGCATTGAGATGCGTTCAGTCAATAACATTCGTTCGCCATTGTAATACCAAGAGATGTGAGGTGTTGGATTACCTTTTGCAACACAGTCAAATCGTGCAAGACGTTGATTTATTTTTACTACTTGTTTACGAGGCAATATGGTAAAAACTGGGTAACCTGTAATAGATATAACAAAATAAGACATGTTGTTTTTTGAAAAAAAATATGTATTGTTGTTGTGTATATTATACTACGATATAAAATACTTGCCATTATCGTTTGCTTTGCTTTGAACCATCATTTTAGCTGGCTTCGATTTTACTTCTCCAGCGGGATTTTTAGCTGCACATTCAAACACTCCGATATCATTCTCATCTGCATTATGAACCATAAGAGTACCATTATTCATAACTTCGTATCGAGAACTGTCAATTGGCAAAACTGCTGAATCTCGGAACCATATGATTTCTGGAGTCGGTTCACCATTCGCCTTGCACGTAAACATAGCATCTTCTCCAAAGCTAATTACTACATCCTCGGGGTTCGATTCGATTTGAGGCCGCTCTGCAAATAAAATGATCAGTAACAAGAATTTCAACAAATCATAGTAGGTACTATATAATGTGATACAAGAATTACTCACGGCAATGGAAATCTTTCTCTTTCATTGCTGCTAAGGATGTTCCAGTCATCCCAGCGGGTTCGTAGCAAGTGGCAGCGATGCTCATCTCACTATGTTCGGCAAGCATTCGGATAAACCAGAGCATAGCACAATCGCACACTAGGGCATTGCTGTCCAAGCGTAACTTATGCAATTTTGGCATGCCTCGAAAAGACCCAGGAGGAATAGTTTTTAAGTTATTGTTATGCAAATACCTGAATACAAATCAATAGGTTATAAAAATAATATATCTTTTTCTAACATTTATGTCATGTCACATGAAAAACTTACAGTCGTTCAAGGCGTGGCAAGTTGGAGAAAGTTTCGGGTTCAATTTGATGAATTTCGTTGACATGCAAGTACCTAGAAAAAACATTCAATATAATATATTGGTTTATTTTACCATTAATTAACAGTGTACTTATTATTTTTTTAGTTAATAATTCTATAATAATAATAATGATCAAAAATACATTAATTGTAATTGTATTTGCACTAATTTTTTTGTTTAATTATTTATCGATATTTCAGTTCGTATAGCAAAAATTTGAAAAAATGAATATTCGTGAGCCTGTAACTTTGTTGTTATTATAATGATATGAAAAAGTTAACAAGTACTTTTTTATAGGATTTTAAACGTACTACAAATTTGCCATTTAATATTTTTTCAAACTCTTACAGTTTAGCTAAAAAATGCAAAAAACCGTAAATTTGAACTTCAAAGCCATATAACAAATCAAATATTGAAGATAGAAATTCGACTCAATGGAACTTTTTGTAGTAAATTTAATACTAAAAACGGTCCATTCATTAACTTTTTTGAAAAATATTTTCGTCACAGTTTGCAGGACAAAAAAGTGTTAAAAATCATATTTTCCATATAATTTGTATGGGAAAACTAAAAGTTCGACGGAAAACCTCTTAGAATTGGAATTTTGAGCTCCGCTTTTAACAGGAGGTTTGTTGGGACATTTTCTGAGATATTTTGGGGTGAGAGCGAAGAAAAAAAAATCTTCATTTTTTGGCACACCTAATATACATATAATATAAAAATTAATCCCTATTTCCCTTGGTCACGCCATCACGCGTGAACGGCTGGACCGATTTAACTATTATTGTTTTTGTTGTGTTTGTTATTGTCAGGAGAAGGTTCTTATGAAAGAAAAAATTTAAAAAATTGCGCGGAAAATTATAAAATTTAAGAATATTTTTTTAAGAATACTTAACCACATTAAAATTTATACTCGTATGGCTAACGCTGGGTAATAACTATTTTTATATATTTAAAACCTACCTAGCGACGAACCCGAGTGAAGCGAGGGTGAGCCGCTAGTATAAATAATATTAGAATTTACCTAACTAAACGTTCTCTTTAAACAGTATTTACAACCAATTTCCATTTTCAGTACGCTTAAAATCATAAAAGGCTCATAGACATACGACAAGTATTAGCCTAGAAATATGGCTAACAAAAGCGCTTGTGTTCGACTCTCAGTACTCCTTTGTATAAAAAGCGATCTTTATGTGGGGTGAAACCAGTTTCGCAATAAGATAAATAAGTTTACCAGGTGGTTTGTCGGAGGCAAATATTATTTCCTGGAAGAGATATTCTTCCAGAAACTTCTTAGAGTTCCACTTTAGTAGTGTTTTGTAGGCGTGAAGAAAAAAAAGTGAAATTCTTTGTTACGTCACTTAACAAATTATATTTAAAGAAGCAATACCGAAGCAGAAGAGAAGAGAAAGTTTAGGAAGATGAACGATAACATAAATAGTACGTAGTACAATGACAAGAAGTCCAAGTGCAATAACTTACGAAAACGATTAAATTATATAAAACAACTAATCAGCAATGATTAAATAACAAGCTTCGAAATTAACATTACTTTGGGTAGGTACTCAACTGTATTGACATTCTGTATATATTTATAATTTATAATTAATTATATAAATGTTTCTATGGTCAAACGCAATCTATTCCAAGAACAATACTTAATTTTCCTCCATATTTAGTACACTATATCATGTTGTTTATTTTTGTTACATACATAGCAACACCAATGACATCATTACTCGATATAGTAACCCATGTAGGCAACCGTATACATCTTAAAATAAACACGTGAACCTTCTTTAATACATTGACCAGAGCAGCTTCGTTAAGCAGGCCTTGCGAAACTTATGTGTAGTCATATGCAGAAATTAAAGGTTCGACTTATAACAGTAATATTGCTATAAGCATCTAAGGTGTACGTAAAATGTCACCATCATAATACTATAGTAATTACCAATACTCGTCTTCAAGTGACAAAAACATTTAGTAACTGACAGAATTCGTTTTCTATTTGTATGCATTATCTATATACATATAATAAAAGTCGAATCTGTACATTAAATATTTTTTGGAAAATCTTATTGAAATAGACATTATTATCGATACAGAGACCGAATCTACAGTTTTTAGATTTTTTGTCTGTCTGTCATGCTGTCCGTCTGTTACCGCATTACAGAAAAACCACTGGAGGGTTTTTGATGAAATTTGGTATGGTGATAGCTGGTTATCCGCGTCAACATACATACTTTTTACCGCGGGAAAATTTCTCATTTCTGAGAAAAATACAAAAACTGCTGTCCGAACGCGGGCGGAGCCGCGGGCAATGCTAGTATATTATAGAATGCGTCAGTCCCCCTTGCAAAGCACACAATGACAACACAGTTCATATCTTTCTTTTATTCTGAGTTTAGTATTAACTGAGTAGCTACTTAATAAATAAGATTTAAAAGCGCTTAATATTATAATATTTTTTTATTTTTTTTTTAAATATGTTGGGACATTAACACGCAGCACCATCTAATTCCATGGTAAGCACAAAGCTTGTGTTATGGATACCAGATAGTTGATACACTACATATATATAACTTTAAATACATACATATTATAAATATAAACACCCATGACTGGAGTACAAACATTCGTGCTCATTACACAAATGAATGCCCCCAGCGGGACTTGAACCCGCGACCGCTGGGTCACAACAAACTGAGCCAAACGTGTCGTCAGACGTTATTTTATTGAAAAATATACGTTATTTTATTGAATGCTAATAAATTCGAGAAGAAATTATGCGGGCAGATGGCCGGACGGATAGTGAAGGCCCAGTAATAGGGTAACGCCTAAACCCTTTGGGTACCTAACATTTAGTAAGTTAGATCCAGTCAATAATACCTTTTAAAGATCACTTTGGATGACTTTTATGCTAGGTAGGTTCATACATTTAGGTTGCCTATTAAAACGGGTTTATTGAGTCTTTCTTTTAAAGTTAGGCTAATTATTTAGTTTATTTTTTTTTATTTTTTATCCCACTTTCATTAGCCCTTAGAAGAAAATGTTTTGCTAATTTCAGACTATTACTAAATTTTAGATATAAGTATCTTATTGAAATAAAAACATTAATTCATAAAAATATAATCAAATGCGAGTCCAATTCGCGGACAAAGGGTTCCGTGCCATCGTACAATGTGTCATGTTCTATGACTTTAACTCTATGTATGTACCTAGTATATTATTTTATATATGTACCATAAAATATATGTTATACAAAATAAAGTAACAAAATATCGACAAAGGATAACTTATCTCTTTAAGAGATTTCTTCCAGACACAATTCAAAAGTGAGAAAATAAGTCGATTTAATGCGATGTAGGTACAGTACAGCATTAAATGGTATTATTATATATTATTTATTGCATATTAACAGAGTATAAACTTAATATTAAAAAATATCAACTAAAAATTTATAATTATACAAAAATATATATTTAATTTTTTATAATAATAAATTTTTAGTTGCTACTTTTTTATATACAAAATGAATATATTATTAACATCGATGATTGTTTCCGAACGTTAAAAAAATATTTCTTATATTTTTATTTTCATTATTTGTTGTTATAGCTATTATAATATTACGGTTCATGAGATACAGCCCTCTGATAGATGGACGGATAGCGGAGGTTTTGTAATAGGGTCCCGTTGCAATACTTCGGGTACGAAACCCTAAAAATTATCATTTCAGTGTGTGTTAATGTGAAATGAAAATTAAAATCTGTACATAATTAATATATTGACTATAAGAGAAAATGAATATGGAAATTAAATTAAAATTTGTTATTCAGTAAGCCTGTTGACTCCAGCCTGTTGCATTTCAAGTATTTTAAAATGAGTGGCATAATTTATATTGTTAATTTTAGTAAACCTACAAGAATTTATAATTTATGTGCATTGAAATTTAGATAAATATGATACCATTTATTAGAGTTCTTTCTACACTCGAGTTCAGACGTGGTAGACCAGTGGTGGTAACACGCGTGCTTTGGAAACCGAGTGAAAAGGGTTCAAATCTCGCAACTTTGATATTCTCATGTGCGAATCATTTCCAACATTATTATTACTTGTCTTACGGTGAAGGACAACATCGTGAGGAAAATTATATGTCTGAGAACCTAACAAGTTTTCGAAAGATATGTAAAGTACAACCTGCACTTAGCCAGTGCGGTGGACTATGGTCTCCCTCATTGCAGGGAGGCTTGTGCCCGTAAGAAATGGGCTAAATACTCGAATTTGGAATATTAATTAGTGAGTACATCAAACTGTATGGTATAGGCAGTGGTAGTCCAGCGGTAACGTACTCCCTAGGGAAACCGAGTGAAGCGGGTTCAAATCCCGTTTCTCGCATCTCTGATATTTTCACGTGCGAATCATTCCTAACATGATTACCACTTGTGTAACGGTGAAGGAAAACATCGTGAGGAAACCTGCATGTCTGAGAGAACCTAGCAAGTTTTCAAAAGATGCGTGAAGTCCGCCAACCCGCACTTGGCCAGCACGGTGGACTATAGTCTGATCTCCCTCGTATCGAAGGGAGGCCCGTGCCCAGCAGTGGGACGATAAAAAGGGCTAAATACATCAAACTGTGTTGGTGGCATTGACAAGTCATGTCAATGTTGGCTAAAACGGGCTTAATACCTTCTCAATAGTTTATTTAATGTAAAACCTCTATGTATAAAAGCAATATATGCCCGCAGCTTCCGCCTTCGTATCCTGTTTAATAATAATAAAATTCGTTCATTTCAAGTAACCATGACTCAAAGATGTTAGTATACAATCTCACAACTATGTTAGTACAACAATATATTACAATATATTATTTCACACTCCTATTAATCCTCATTTAATCCATGCGAGATTTTAAAGCAGCGATTAATATAATCTATAATATACAATATACACATTAATGTGTTGGGACAGCACTATCTAGTTCCATAGTAATCAAGGAGGCTTGTGTTATGGATACCAAATAGTTGACACAATATATTATATAACTTTAAATACTATATGTATGTACATACATAATATTATAAATATAAACACCCATGACTAGAGTACAAAGATTCATGAGACAAATGTATGCCCCCAGCGGGACTCAAACCCGCGACCGCTCCCACAGCAAGTAGGGTCACTACAAACTGAGCCAAACTGTTCGTCAACGACTTTTCGTTTGTCCCGTCATCGCGTAAAAAGTACTGAATGTATCGGTACGCGACTTTTACCAATCGAAGCAAAAATGAAGTGAAACGAATTTCATACACTCTTCACATTTTTTTTTAATTACGTTCATGAATATTTTTTTTCGCCAATGAGAACAAAACATTTTACACTTTTTATCTATTCATTTGTTTTTTTTTATTTATCCTAATTTTTATAATCGAAAAGAAGACTCTCTGAAGACCAAAAGAAACACAGGTACGTACCTACGTTTAAGTACCTAAAAGTTTAAATTAGAATAGAGTTCATTTTTAATTAGAAATATTACTTCTTATTTACCTACCTACCTTTAAAAATAATGAATTTTCGTATGAACCACCCCTTTTCCACAATGTTAGGTTATGAATTTCTAAAAATCCTTTCTTACATATATATATATATATATATATATATATATATATATATATATATATATATATAGGCACGTACAATATACATATAGGTATCTGACCTATGAGGAATCTACCTCCAGAATTTCAAGCTCAACTGATTCGATATTAAAATGACTTTTATTGAGAGATAGATTATTTGAAAATGTAGCGAAGGTGGAAATTTATATTACATTTTCGCCAAGCATGAAATAAACTACGATTAAACTATGGAGTGTCTACCCTCCATAAAAACTTTTAAACTACGCGCATATAAAATCAGTGAAGTTAAATGGCAGAATGAATGGTGATTAAAAAAATGCTATTTTCTTTCTACCGGTCCTATACGGACTACGAAATTTAATTACAATCAAGGAGTGTCTGCTGGCGCTTTTGAGTTATTCCCTAATTTTGTAGCCAAAATCCACTTACTAAGCACACGATGTTATCGAAAATCAGTAACTAACCGTTCAACGATAACTTTGGATTTAAACCTAAGCCATTTTAAAAATATTTTCTCAAGAAATATGCAATATCTTTTATTATTTTGTTATAATTAAGTTGAAATATTTCGTTACAATGTACATTAAAATACTTACAATTGTTCTAAATGTGCCATGCCATGAAAAACATCAGAGTCGATGTGTTGTATGCGATTTCGATATAGGTAGAGGTACTTCAGACGGCGCAGGCCATGGAAGGCGCCTGATCGCAACTCTCTCAACTGATTGTCGTTGAGAAGCAGAGACCGCAGCCGATGGAGGTGGCTGAACACTCCCGGTGCGATATCAAAAATGCGATTAAAACGCACATCCCTGAAACAAAGTAAATTTTTTATAATCATATGATAAACTCCAGTTAAATCTTGAAAAATTATAAAAAAAATTGGATTTTAATTGTCAGAAAAATGTTTCTCATGAGCTAAAATACAACGTAAATAAATTGAAAATTAATATATGAAAAAAGTAGTTCAATTTTATATTCAGTCATATTGTAGCCAATATTGATGGGCAACTATTATAGGATAATATATGTAATACTTTCTTAGATTTACGCGAATGTTTGACATTTTTAAATAAAACTATCTTTTCGGATTATTTCGCGGATTTATTTTGATTTTTGGGTCCCGACGTTTCGAATGCTTTACAGCATCTATGGTCACGGGAGAGACTGAGGTGTTACATGTCTTGAAGATATAGTTGTTACAGACAGCCTACCCACAATTAACAAAATGAAAATTGAATGAACCAAAAATCAAAATAAATCCGCGAAATAATCCGAAAAGATAGTTTTATTTAAAAATGGATAATATATGCCTAAATAACCAACCTATCTATGCATTATGTATATTAATATTGTGAAAATATAAGATTCGTTTATTTTTTGTAATCGATAAACACCAAAACTACTGAAATGATTTTAATAATTCTTTCACTAATAGCTATCTTATATACTATAGCTACGTTATGTTTGTATACTATAGCCACATTATCTACGGTTAGGTATATTCAATTCAATTCTTTTGTTTAGTGACTTCCAGGAGTGCCAATTGGGCACGTACAGTTATATTCATATTGTGTTTTTATTAGTCGATCTGTCATGGCTTTTGACGGATAAACTGTCAGCGTGACAGTTGTTTAAAAGGTAAAACAATGTATGGCTAAGTAATGTTTAAATTATTAATTGGAGTAGATACATAATATTAATTTTTATAACAATTATTTTATAGTCACAAATACCCAATAGAATAAAATAAAACTTGCGTTTTATAGTATTTCGCATTTTTATTCCATTCGTATAACTTTGGAGATAATAAAAAATTAAATAAATCACGAGTTGCGCATAAACATATTTAAAGTCGCTAGTGGTAATTATGATGCATTGCAATACGACAAGAATGTACAGCTCTGTTGCCTGATACATTTAAATATTTTTTATTTAAATATCAGGTATAATTTGTTGTTCGTTATAATTTTAAATAATATATGAAATCTGAAATTAGATATTACATTACATTCTAAATAGAAGCTAAAACAATTAAAACGCTCAACGATTCACATTAGGTTCTATTGATCAATATCGTATACCTATTTTACAATTTAAAGCCTTCGTAGTACAGAATTCAAGTCATTAACGGAGATCGCAATGCAAAGTCAGCTTCTTGCATCTTAATTTTCATAATTAAACTAAATATTTCATTTTGAATGTGTAGTTTAGAATAACTGTTACAAGCGAGTTGCGGCCAAGCACTGCTTCACTCAGACTCTTAATTAATTTACGCATTAATATTTTTTCAGATAAGTAGATTAAATTCTTTATTTTTTCTTCAGAAATACGTTTATTGTTGGCGAAAAAGCAATCAAATGGTCGAAAAAAATATTTTTTATCCTGGGAAATGACTAAAGAGTTTAACGGGACTATAATATAAAAGGTTACATAAATGCCGAAGTTCATCCCAATTTGTTCAGGCAAAGAACAATGAATGTAATTTTCTAAAACATTTGTAATATGTTAAGTTTTTATTAAAAGAAAATGGACTAGAATCGAATAATAATAAGAAACCGACAATTTAATTTAAGTTGAAGCATTCAAGCGCGTTAAAAAGATTGCACGATTTCAATATTTATAAAATAGATTGAAAACTCTTTTGATATTGCACTTATTAATCTCTATTATAGACTCAGTTGGAAATAGTAATCAATGGACCAGGGCATCGCCATTGCTGCACTGAGCCGAACCACATAAAGCGAAATAGAAAAAAATAACTCCAAATACTTTTTTATTGAGCCAATGCTTATAAAAACTTAAATGGGGAAATTTTATTTTCCAATTATCTTCTACAATCAAATATATATATATATATATATATATATATATATATATATATATATATATATAAGTATTTGTTTATATAGTATTTGTTTTTTCTTGCTTGAAATATTTATAGAGTACTTACTGATGTACATTGTAAGGAGAGGTAATGAAAAAAAAAATATAGAAATTAAATAATTATCAATGGAGACATACTAAAACGTTAAGAAAGCTGAAGTAGTAAGTAGACGCCCGTCGATTAGTGTCCAATTTTAGTATTTTACCTACTTTATGAATTTCCCCCATACTGAATGGTCGACAAAATATTAAGAGTTACTCATTTCAGGATCAACTTGAAAATTCTGTTTTTTATTTGCGACTTTTCTCGAATGTATAAAATATTTAAGTTGAAAGTCATAATAAAATTGTAACTAAGCCGAATCTGTACATTAAATATTTTTTGGAAACCCACTGGAGGGATTTTGATGAAATTTGGTATGGTGATAGCTGGTTATCCGGGTCAACATATAGGATACTTTTTACCGCGGGAAAATATCTCATTTTTTAGAAAAAATACAAAAACTGCAATGTAAGAGTAAGAGTATACTAATATGTAAAACCTAAGAATTTGGTTGTTTTTCATCTGAACGAGGCGAGGCGGAGCCGCGGGCAATGCTAGAGTTACATAAATTGTTTATCTTTATATTTTATTGGGGCGTAACAGACTGTCCCAGTGACACTAAAAAGATCAACACTTAGTTGAAAGTTTATTACTTTCCATAGTCTATATTAATATCATAAAGGAATATGAAAAACAGAGTAGTTCTTATGGCACATATTAGAAGTACCTACATATTGCTTACGTATGGGCTATGTAAATAATAAAATATTTATTATAATAAAAAACAATGCTGATATTAGCTACTTACTACTGCAGTAGTATAATAATAAAAAAATTTTTCCAACTTAAAACAAAAATATCATCATACAGATTTTCGCAATGTATATAAATAAAAATAAATGTGCGGATGTTTGTCCTCTACGTGTTCCTAAATCATTGATCCGATTGTGATGAAACTCTCGTGTCTTATTCTGTAAGCGTCTGCAAAGGTTCCTGGCGTAAAAAATATTTTTTCTTTGGACGTTCCTAAGCCATTCAAGCTTTATGTTTTTTTAATCCTAGAACTTCCATAGGGAATTCTTCTTTCTATTACTGAAAACCGTATGAAAATCCGTACAGCAGTTTCTGAAATTAGTTCGAACAAACCCAAACTAAAATTTTGTGATTACATTTATCAATTTTATTTTTCTGATCTATGTTAAATACCAGAGACGTTACGAATTTGATACCTCGTTGGCATGAAATGGGTAAAAATTAGACTTAGTAATAATATTTTTTGTTCACTGTGTATTCATTTCATTCATGATTAAAATGTTATTCAAGTAAAGCTTCATTGTATCGATCACAGTGTGGGCTTATTGTAGCTATTTATTAAACTATCCTGTAAAATGTTAAATACCTTACATATGAAATCATTTTAATAGGGGAACTTTATTTTGAATTGGGAGCTTATTAAATTGATTTACGTCTTTGATTACTGTCTCGGTAGTGTAATAGCTAGCATATACGGCTGCATATCCGGAGGTCCCGGGTTCGAGTCCCCGGATCAGGCCAAGTTTAGTTATACAATAATTAACTCAAGTTTATTGTTAAGAAAGTCCCAGTATCAGCCCGGAGTTAGTAAATTGGCGGTGTTTCACCTCCGTGCCTTGGAAGTAAAGCCGTCAGTGCTGCGTCTGATCTCTCACCGGTTTTGTCGAATTATCGACCCATTAGAATTTGAGAATAACAGCAATAGAGAGTGCGCTATAATATTTCCTGCGCAGTTAGTTTCAGTGAGATTGGTTGCCGTGGAAGAAATCGGTCGGGGGGAAATGATCATAATATATTAATATAATTACAAAAAATATCTAAAAAGGTAGGTACCTAGGTTTCATAGAAACATTCATCCCCTATTTAACCCCCTTATAGGATGAATTTCGAAAAATGCTAAAACATGTATTTATTTATTTGTATTGAAGAGCATTAATACCAGTTTCAAGTAATTCTGATTAGAAATATTTTTTTAGATTCATTCATTTAGATTCATGAATTAAACATATCAATACGATATCCCAATTTCAAAGTGTTTTGTATAAATACATACCTAATAAGTGAATAAACTGGTCATTTCTAAATTGGATACACTAGATTGTAATGACATCGACAGTGAATAGTTATTTATTCAGTATAGAAACGATTACAATAGTGGGGTGCGTCGTCTCTGTGGCTAATGTGTTTTAGTTCAATAGGTTCACCTTCGATCTTTAGAACGTTGAAAACTCCTTAGCTATAATGTTTCTATGTAAAATTTTCATATATTTATGGGGACTCGTATAGCATACGATAGAAATTATCACTTTCATATTTCTGATTTTAAATATATTTATTAATTTAAATGGTCGCTCAGTAATCGACCATAATCATTTTGTATGGATAACATTAAAGCTTTTTAATAGTGACTAAATAAAAAATAAAAAAAACAACTTCAAAAAGAAATTAACTTAAAATTATGAAATAATATTGTAATATACGAAATTAACCAACAAATACGACATCAAAACTAGGTCCGAAACAAAAATAAAGGCCTTCAATTTTTGAAGTTATTCTTCTTTGGGCATTTTTGGAAAAAATTATGAGGGTAAAATTTTCTACGATGCGCGCGCACACCGACAGGCAAAAAGCTACATGATGAAGTTAGCTGCATTCCTTTTACGAACAGAGTGTTGTGACATACGGGATGAAATTATTAGCTATTTTTGTTCTCTTACGCCAAAGAAGTATAACTTACCTATCAAATATATTCTAAGTAAAAATAAATTCTATAAAATTATAGACCTATAAATTTTGTTTGGAAGCCCTAATAGATTATCTTATATATTGCAATAATATTGCATACATTAA